CCAGACTGGTTCCAGCTGACAGCAGCAGGGCCAACACGGTCCAGGACAGGACACACCTCTGCACACCTGACATGATGTAAACTGCACACCTGCACAGGTCACACTGGTGTTGTTACAGCTCAGCACACAGTGACCTCTGCTAAAGCTTTCTCCACGCTGAGGGACAGAATCAGACTCACCTGATGAGCCGGAGTCGAAGCGTCTCACCTGTGGAGTGGGGTCGTCGTTTGGTGACTGAGGCTCAGTGTGGCGGCTCGAGGGTTTTATAACAGGCGCGCTGACGCGTCTGAGTGGCTCCTCTGTCCAAAAACTATGTAACATGTAAATGTTTGAGTTACATTAACATTATCTCCTCTTCATGGAAATGAAAACAAACGGTCTCCAACGGTTCTCGGGAGGACTTCACAGGTGATAAAGTAGAAGGACTGGAGTTGGATGGTGCATCAGAGGACACCGAGTGAATGAGGCCGTTACTCTGCCATCTTTAACCTGCAGCTCTGACACAAATGCTTCCTCCAAACCACGCCGAGTAGTTCGTGATTCCAGCTGTGAGAAACATCCCAACCTGAAGCCTGACCAAGTTCATGTGTACAGAGTTGCAGCTCCAATAAATCACGTTTTTAAAGAGGAAGCTAAACACGAGGAACTCTGAACCTCTGAAAATGAGAGACGATTAATGTGGCACTGTCACTAAAACCTTGGAATCATTCACGTCTTTGATTTTAAAATCCTCTGAGTGTGTACTGAGGCAGAACGAGGTGGATGTGCCCAGGTTCAGTTTTATGCTTTCCACAATCCTTTGAGAGAGGACTGCGTCATGCTTTCTTTCAGCTTGTATATGAAGGTCAAAGTTCGAAGCAGTGTTTTCAGAAAGTAGTCTATCCCAAAGGTCTGCGCATCCAAGCACAAGGACGATTCTGTGATAGCCTGGATGGAGCTGAGCCCTGAGAACATTGCAAATGTAATAAATTAGCACAAAGTGCATCAGTTTACCTGACGTCCTGTGAATGCACCGTTGGACCTCACCATGCCGCTCAGAGTTGAGCTTCTGTGCTTCCATGATGAAGATCATTCTGCTTATCTGTGTTCCAATCACAGTGACAACAGTAACCATCGAAGCCCAGACCTGCCTCACCCGCCCACCTCCTCCAGCTCGTCCTGGGGTCACAGAGTCGTCCCCAGGCTGCTGTTAGATACAAGCTGTGTCCCAAAACACTCCTCCTCCTGAGGACCCGGCCTTCGCGGTCTACGTGGGCCGGGTCCTTCGAAGACAGAGAAGGCCGGAAGTGCGAGGCTGTGAAATTGGACGGTCGAGCCTTCTGATTAGCGTCACCGCTATCTCGGTGGAGTTTAATAAACTCGTCCGTCTGCTCCTTGCTGTCTAAAATATAACAGGACACTGGAGTAAACTGTCGACCGTCTCACACTTCTGTTTAACAATAACATTTTTAAGTTATCCGAGTGACTTATATATCATGTTTAACCTGAGTAGCGAAAGACGGCGGTGATCTGAAAACGATTTCCCGGGAGTGTGCCGTTCTCGCCAGCTCTAGTGAGCCTTGCCCCCGGCTAGCTATCGAGCTAGTGGGTAACAGACGTCTCCGAAAACGTTGGAGCACTTTTGCAAATATGTGATGTCTTGATAAACTGAGCAGATATTTGAGGTTTACACAGCTACATTCTCGCCTGAAAATATGTTAAACGTTTATTTTGTGACCCAGAAAGAATAATAAGAGTAATATTAAAACTAACTAGCTGCCGCCATTGTTGGAAACTGGAATTGGCGCGCTCTGAATTCTAAGGACTCGACAAATTGGGACAGCCTCCGTCACCTGGCTGTGACGTAATTGGCCTCCGAAGGATGCAGCCTACGTATTGGGACTCAGCTACAATCTCACCCGTGACTCCTGGATCTGCTCCAACATCTCCTCCCAGTGAGACATCAACTCGTCATTTTGGAGGAGTTTCAAGTAGAGCAGGGCGATATGGCCAAAAATATTTATCACGATATACATTTGAAAATTTGCGATAACAATATAACTGACGATATAATTGACACGAGACAAAATACTTTACAACTCCACAACTTTGTGGTTTTTTTTTTTGCACTAATAATGTATTTTCACTTAACAAGCAGCTGTTTTTTATGTGCATTAAAGTAATAAACAAATGTAACAGTGCAAATGCAAATTCCTTGCTGACAGTTTCACCAAAAGGCATTTCCAGTGGAAACTGGCCGACATATCCTCAGCATAACCATGTATAATATCCACAAAACTTAAAAACAGGTTATACACACACAATACGGTAATATTATGTTGAAGCACAGTACGTATCACTTCGCGAGGCGCCTGCCTACGATGCCGTAATGACAATCCATCAAGCGGTGCGGCTTCGTAGCTTAGCAAAGTCGGACTAAAACATTTGACAGATGTTTGTGTGCCGTGTACCACATAAAATCAGTTCGGTAATAACGACGGCCCGCTAGCATGCTCTACCAAAAATAGTGCTTTGTTGTGTATCTGACGGACGAAAGCTAAACCAGTTCCACACCAGTGAAGTTGGAGCATTTTTACAAACCAGTTCTGGTTCATCTGTTTCATTCAATGATCCGCTTTCGCCCTTCTCATTCTGCGTCACCGCCATGCTTCTTCCGCCATGTGCGTATGTAAACAAAGGCACTGCGCATGCGCGTTTTACCCGTATTCTATCGCCATATTTCCCACATGTGGGACTAATAAAGGTTATCTTATTTTCTTATCATTGCGTAACATTATACTGGTGTTACTGAGAACGGTGTGTTAAATATTCCAGTTCTTTGGTCTTTGGGCTGAAGGAATGGTAAATGGTAAATGGCCTGTATTTATATAGCGCTTTTACTACTCCCTAAGGACCCCAAAGCGCTTTACATATCCAGTCATCCACCCATTCACACACACATTCACACACTGGTGATGGCAAGCTACATTGTAGCCACA